ATTTTCCCGTATTTTTAATGTTATTTTATTTCTTTAGCCTACGCATTTTGTAGGGGTTTTGGTGACAATATTACATCTTTCCTTGGAAGCTAGGCTTCATCGCCTTACTCAATGTGAACAAAAATACCTAATGAGTGTAATTTTTAAAACGGAGTCGGGCAATTAGGGCACACATAATTGGCATGTTATTTAACGAGCGGCCACTCTCTGCAAATACATTAAGTCGATGGATAAGTAGTAGTCGTTTCCGTTTTCATCATATGTTTACCAGATGTCGATAAATAATGGAAAAAGCCTGACTATTTATGAATCTGTATCTCTCTATAACTGTACTTTTGCTTAGATTTTGTTCTGGAAAGTCGTTTTTAAATGTGGTTCGTATTTATTTGCGTAATTATTTTACTAGGTAAATTTAAAATTATTTTTAATGGTATTCGCTATTGTTTAGGGTGTGCGTATAATGAGTGTACAAAATAGTAGATTAGTATAAGATTACTTTCCACTTGTGAAATATAGTAGCTATGTTGCGCTTTATAAACATAATTCCCACTGCATTGTAATGGTTATTGTTGTTTTTTTGCAATAAATTATTATAAATGAAAACTCACAAGCCTTCCTCTCATTAAATGAAATGCTGCATTAATTTGAAACATTATCGGTGCTATAAGTAATTGAAATAACTATAAACGTCCATATTTGATTAGATAAGGGAAGTAGAGACTTACCTAAAATTGCCTTTATTTGATCGTAAAAGGGTTATAATGACGTACCTCATATCGCATTTACTTCATCGGAAAAGGGTTATAAAGACGTGTCAAAAATGGCCTATATTTGATCGGAAAGGAGAAGTAAAAAGGTTGTTTTTAGTCGCCTATACTTGATCGGAAAGACGTAGTAATAGTGCAACTACAATTTTAAGCTTAGGCATAAAAGGGTAGTAAACCCGTAGACCCTGACCTTTCCGGTAGAGCTTTACACCGTTGAAAAGGCTTGTAAAGAGAATATTCAGATCCATTTCCTGAAGAGTAAAAGAGCTGAAAATTGACTTTTTGTGCTGTGTGTACCGCACCAGTTTGTCCAGTGTAACGTACGTGACAGAGACTCCCCCATGAAAGAGAGTCCGCTTTCTCTTCATTTGTATAGGTAAGCCTCACCCTAGATTTTGGCACACTTAGGTACAGGCTAATCCTGACCATTATAACTAAATGGAGGGCGGACTATCTGTTACACGGACCCTCAGTTTCGTCACACCTGTTCTAAATGCAGGATTTTTACTCCCTTTCACAATTAATATTCTATTCAATATTAATCTAGTTTTAACTGGTCGCGTCGAGTGTAGGTGACTCTCTGAGGTCATAGCAAGCATATAAGCTTGGTCAATCTCTCAAACTGGAGCGCTACAGAAAGCTGCACTGTTCAATAACATAAGACCAGAAGGTCATTGAAGTGTGCACTAACTATTCTATTCAGTAAGGTTGAAGTGAAATTTACATGAAAGCATATATGTATTAATGCGCGTGCGAGGTTGACGTTTGTTCGAGAAAGATTGTGTATATATATATACAGACCTATGTGAACACATACGTTATAACGATGACGTCAACAAACAGACTGTCTAATCTAGGAAATTTCATGTTCTTATACCAGATCTAATAGACTTATCAAAAGTAAAAGAATGAAAAAATAGCTTATGACCGAAAGAACTTCTGGTTCGTTTTGGCTAAACCTTTGTCGCAAAACACGGTGATATTAAAAACAAAAGGTCTACCTACTTTACTTACAGTTAACCTACAGTTGATCTCGGTCGTTTTTGATATAATCAGCCTCCAATGGTTTTCGACTTCTTCCACTTCTGTCCAGTCCCCCAGTCATGTGCAAATGCAGGGAGTAGACGGTGTTTAAATACTCGTCTCCAGGATCGAGTTACCTGACACCGCTAGTGACACAAACAGAGCGAGACTGCGACGAGATTTCCATCAAAATTTCAGGAAATTTGCGCTCCTTTGCTGGGATGGAGTTTCCAGGTATGTCATGATATGTTTAGTAAAATGACGCAATATGATAACTCGGGTCAGAGGAAAATATTTGCTTCTACGACAGGTTCTGGCAGAAAAACTCGGAATTTCAATGCGATTTCTGTATTGTGCCTTGGTTTTTAGTGATTATCTATCTAGCCTAAGATTAACAGGCTGGGTTCATTGAACGATTTAAACGGTGTTTAGTTCAACAGAAAATGATAATTAAAGAAATTGTTCTCAAAGTCAAGGTATAGAAATATTGAGATTGCTTGCGTGATTTTTCACTTCGTGTATTAGGGGACTGCACGAGGATGGCCAAATTCTTTCTTCGATATACACGTTATACACACGGGCGTCTTGCTAAGACAAATCAGCTAGGTTTATGCCACGTCAAGCTGCGAAAGAGGAGAGAGAGAATGGGAGAATGAATGGATGAGAGAGAGCGAGAGAGAGAGAGAAGATGAGCGTGCTGAAACGTACTTCAGGGATGGCCGCAGCTAAGATTTTCCATACGATGCAAAAGCAAACACAACGGCAATGGTAGTGGAACAGTCTGCTTAGGAACAGTTTCCCATTACTATGTCAGGTGACATTCAGTCCCTTTGCTGACCCCAATACTCCAACTAACCCTTACCCATACTTATCATATGGGACCCCGGACTTCTATTAATTCCTAAGACTACCGTTCCTATTACACCCGACCCTACAGAGTACATGTAAGCTACACCTCAAATTCTTACGTACAAGATACTGATTTTTGGTATTGAATATTTTACCTTCATTCAGCACAGATTTCAGGGGCGGATCCATAGCTATTTTCTGACCGTTTTCCAAATTATCTTTGTTGATCCATTCTTTATTTTTGACCGACTTCCGACAAAAAGAAATAGATCCCCATCAATGTAAACTTGAAAATCCAAAAGACCCAGAAGACGGCCTCGATCCGCCCTTGTGATTTGTATGCGTGTGACTTTGTTGGTTTGGTGACAACTTTGGAGATAAAAAAGAATAGATATTCCATGACTATTTTCTTAAATTTCCGTTGCTGATGAAGCGAACGTGAGCTTTGGGGCGTGAGGTTTGGCCTTCTGACGGTCTCGAGTATACCTTAATCTTAATTATTACAACTTAGGCATTCTTTGAATCCATTGTTTTCAATGTTTATATTTCTTGATTATCATCTCTCCATGATTCAAGTGAAATGGAGGTCTAGGAAATGTTTGGGTGTCTCCGAGTTTCTTGATACAAAGGATGTCCACGTGTACGATACCCGCCCATCTTTTCTATCAAAGCCGTGCAATTAGAAGTTTTTATTTGAAATGACATTTTTAATTTAAATATATAGCATCTAATAATTTAATACTTATCACTAGAAGTCCGCAAAACAGACCCTCTTCGATAAGTGGATATTTTGGTGGACAATGGTATAGGCCTACCACGCTAGACGTTTCAATAACAAGTTTTTTTTTTATTCTGGATTGATAATGGGTTAGAAGGTAGATTAGAATGAAATACCTTTTTGTCGAGAAAAAGTAGCAATATTTAAAATAGGTCTCGCGACGAAAAGTTAATTTTTTCAGTAAAAAAAGGACCCTTCTCTAAAATTGCTTCACCCCTCTCAACCCCGAGTTAGCAGATAAGGTTATGCCGCCGCCAATTGCATGCAGTATACAACATATTCTATGCCGGGCTTTGAGATCAAATGTATACTTCAACGCGTTTGAATTTTATGAATTAGAGTTGAATTGATTTCTCCTGGCTGAGACAACTTGCGCAGGAGGCTATCGCTTTCTTGTGGTAAGTAGTGCTGCGCATGCGGCATTTAGAGCTGTGTCCATTTGACGCTAAGCGCTCAGGCAGAAAGGACACAACTACATGCACATTAAAAAATGATATATGTAATATAAACGAGCATTTTAAGTAATTATGATGAGCAGATAAAAAGTGAATCGGTGAATCGGTGAATTCTTGCTTCTTCAATGCAAACACTCCATAAGAGACATTTTGTTTTTGAACGAGCATGGTAACTCGAAATATGCTTTATTGGCAAGTCAGGATTCCCCTAGACAAGGGTGATCTAGTACCAGCGATGAAGAGGCAAGACGCCTTTGTTGAAAATGCCTGTGAGAGAATACCTTCAGATAAGAGTGCCCTAATTGGTCTGATGGGGATAGGATATCCCAGTAGTAACTGTTACGATTGTAAGATGATTGACATGTTTATGTACCGTATGTCATACTGTAGTATCGTCTTTATTCCTGTTTTTTTTTTCAACTAACATGAGCGACGATAGCGTCAGCATTTACAGTTTAATAAAGTGTTTGTGTTATTATACTATTTGCAGTGTCCATGATTATATAGGAAAAGTATACTATAGTTATCCGCCATTTTTACCAAAAAATGTTTTAAAAAATTAGAAAAGAGTTTAAGCCAACTAGAAAAGAGTTTCATAACTAACAAGAACAAACAAATTATACACAATATAGACTGATTTATTGCCCATCTAAATCGAAAAAATAACCGATCGCAACCAAGAACTCCAAATAGTTGGTGGTGGTTACTCTTCTGAAAATAAAAGTGAAAAATTCTAACTGTTCAGAGTAGTTCTTTAATTATGTGAAATTACGTTGCTATAGTATCAATAATACTACGGCCGACACCTTTTAAGTATTAAACTTTAAGCCACAATTTGTGTTCACAAAACGCGTTGTTATGTAATAAACCTAACGTTAAGAAAATCAACATAAAAGTAGACCATTAAACTGCTGAAATAGTAAGCCCAAAGTGAGGATGACTTTATGAGTAGATGTTTTCAGACTTGGATAATTATAATATTTACCAATTTAAGAGTGCATCAAGGAATTCTTTCATTTCTTTATCCGTGACATCATTTTCAGTCTCGGTGTCGTCTACATCTGGCCCACGATTGCCTCTCTGAAGAGGGAAAATAAGTTGACATCAAGAGGAGAAAAAAGCTAAATTTACCCATGAGGCAGTATTATGTATAATTGCATGAAAAATAAATGAACGAGGTAATAAAAATAAAATATTAATCGTGGTTTTGAAACAAAAAGGGTACCGAGGACGAAAGCGTATGCACAAGTCTGATAATTTTTGTTTAAATCGGTGGCTGTTAAGTTAATGAAAGCAAACGCGTATTGCTGTATCTTTCTTACTAAGAAAGCTGTTAAGTTTTTTTTGTGGCAAATATCAAATTATCATCGATTGAAAATGCAAAGTTAAAATCACTCGACACTTGCCATTTCTTTTGATTATTTCAATCATAAAACATTAATTTTGGACATCATGAAAAAATCGCACTGGACTTTAAAAAATTACCCCTGACGAAAGCGAGCTCACTGCTTCTTGGATACAACTCAAGTAGGCGGCCTGGTTTCTACCAGTATAGGTGCGATAGAGTTCGGCTGCTCTGCCGCAGATGGTCTGAACCGCATCGTCTGTCGCCTTGCTGTCTGCCTTACGCACGTCCTCGGCACACTGACTGATGAAGAAGTCTCGGTTTGCTAGCTTCTCCCAGTAACCAGTTGGTCCACTTTTCTCGTCTCTCAATGTAGCAGGTCTCTGGAATTCAATACGATAGGTAAAGAAAGAACTGGAACAAATCAAAATGTTTTCTGGACAAAAAATGGGTCCTCTATATTGTAATTATGGTATGGGAGACAATTGAATGGAAGAATACAAGGAAACTTATATTTGGAACGAAGAAAAAATTTTCAGAAAGAACTTAAAATTCATTTAAACTATTAGCCAAGAACTTAAGGACTTAAATACTTTTTTTAATTTCTTGAATCATAAACAATGATACATAGCATTTTTAATTTTCAAGAAAACCTACTCAAAATATACTATTAAGCTGGTTAGAAATGTTCGATGCTAAAACAGTCAGTTTGTCAGTCAACTCACTGAAGCAGGCCTAGATTCCGCAGCCTTCCTTATACTGCCGACATAGGCTTGTTCGTTACGTTTTGTACCCTTTATGTACAGCCCATGGGCCCTCTGGCAAAGACTGGTGATAAGAGATATTGGCACGTCCAGGTTATTACTTGCAACATACACCGCACACTCTGTGATGAAGAAGGGACCGTTCTCGAGTTTTCGCCAGTAAGACTGCTGTCCAGTTCCTCGCTTCAGGCTCTTTCCATCCCGGTCACGAACAGGGACAGGCAAACGGATGCTATGCAGGCGGATGCGAGGCAAACTTTCAGTTCTGTGGACGTACAGCATTATTACCGCTGCCACAAGCAAACACACAAACGAAATCTTCATTGTCTGAAACAGGAAAGTAACCAGTAACAGAATACTCATTCCGTGTGACAGGTATGAAAGTAAGGATTTTAATAGAATTCTGGTATGGTTATATTTAAAATGCAAATTAAAGAATTGGAATTAACTTGCAACCAGAGATCTGGTTGAGTCAGCATGCCCACATAAGACGGAATGAAAAGAAAAAAACACCGAACTTTACTCTGTCTGGGACAAAGATATTGCTAAGCATAATCCGTGGTTAAAAACTTGAACCTCGAACCTTCATAACAAGTAGACTACGAAAACAGATTTTTTTGTCAGCAATAACCTACAATAAGTCAATAAAAACGTGGTTACCGCGAACAGTTGGTAATCCTGTGATATTCCTCAGTCGTTCTTCCTACTTCTTCAACTGCCAAACTACTGTGTGAAAGAGAATTTGAGCACAGGTTTTTATAGGGGAAAAGCACGTGGCGCTAGAGAACAGTGTTCAAACCCTCTGGGTAGGGCAACTACGTGGGATAACGGCTGACTGATTTTGTTGAAAAAATATTCAGGTATTTGGCAAATTGCCAAGTGCCATCACCCTGGTTCTCAGGGGTCTTACAGCATCTCACCCCAGCCCTGTGAACATTCCGTGACCAAAGTCAGCATTGGTGAGTTTCAAGCCGACCCTACTATTCCGGGTGGAACAACCAGAACGACGTGCCGTTATCATAAAGTTTGCATCCTCTTGAAAGCTCATTCTGAGCAGGGAATTATATCCGAAATAATTCCCTGTTCTGAGTTGGCGAAGGATGCTCGCCATGGGTTCTAGTTGTCTAATATGGAAAAATCGTCTGCTTATCATTTTTTTTTTGCTACGGTTTACATTTTATATGGTTTTACAGTAATTTCATCCCGCTTATTTATTTATTTATTTCAATGTTGTTTTAAGGTTATTTGTCACTTGGAAGTGTGACACATCAGTTTATAATACAAAACCGAAATTATCTTGAGCAGTCTTTAAAGAATAGGACAGGAAAGTAGGAAATATGTAGGGGGGTTCTTCTTCTTCTTCTTCTTCTTATTTTTATTAATTATACATTGACCTTTTTGAAAACAAAACGTTTTCGCTATGAATAAGCACTGATCATTCCTAAACAGGATTTAGAACTGTTTTTAAATTGTTTTGAAGAATCTAAAAAAAAAAAAAAAATGAAATGAATTTGACACAATTTCATGTCTTAACTGCTCACTTTTCATAGTAGCGGATAATTTCAATTTATTTCAACACATTGATCATTGTTTTATTTTTATTTTATTTGCAAACGCACATATGTTTGGCGAAATACTCGATCCTTTTGCGCCAGATATGTGTAAGTCATGGTCATTGATTTGGAAATCTTGCGATAGGTGGCAGTAGTTGACGCCAGAGTCGGACAAACCAGGGAATTATGTCTGATATAATTCCCTGGACAAACGCAAGCACATCGGAATGCAAGATGATAAAGTGTTATCTTGTTGTTTATCAGTAAAAATGAAATAAAAAATGGAATTCTGATCACCGATATGTCAATACAATTTTGAACGACATGCAGTAAGAGATTTGTTACTGACTGACATAGAATCCCATTTTGGACCAGGGATTTACCCTACTTCCGGTAAACTGATTACCGCTACAGTGGTGTAGCTTTTAATGGTAAGTTTTAATAAAATTATACCGCTGAATTTTGTTAATCTATCAGTAGAGCGTAGAGTAAAATGTACAAATGTATGCTACGGTTGATAAGTGAAGAGAAAAAATAAATAGATGTAATTTTAACAACAACAAGAGCGGCTACAGTATGACCTTAGTTTTCGGCATTTCAAGTAAACGTTTCTAGTTAAAAAGTTATATCACATGTACCCTGGTACAGTATAAGGCCTCAATACTCGTGGCAGTGTCAGAAACTCTCAGGGCTACAAGAGACGTAACTTACAACAACTGGCGTGCCGAAGTAATGCATAGCTAGAAATAAAATACTTAAACATTGTGAAACTGGTATGTGAACTGATACAAATCTGGAACACCCTGAGCTTCAGAGATAACTTGACACTAACCTCTTCACAATAGCCTATCTTCATCGTGTCAAGTTACCTCTGACCACATTCGATTGCCCCCGATATGGGCGGCCAAAAGGGCAAAAAATCATGTCGTCGATTCAGTTATGTTTCGTCGATTCACTGCCTTCCCATCGATTCAGTTTCAAGTTTAAATGATCCTGTCATAAATTCAACATCTACTTTCGTCAATTCAACTGTCAAACATTTCTCATCTACGGTGTATTAAAACTAATGCTGTCACTATTTTCGTCGATCGTGTAACTATTCTCGTCGATCGTCTAATCTCGTCGATCGTCCAACTAATCTCGTCGATCGTGTAACTATTCTCATCGATCGTCTGAAGACGATAGTGTCCCTGTCGTAGTGAAGAGGATAGTGTCAAGTTATCTCTGAAGCTCAGGGTGATCTGGAAGGACTTGAATTGCAAATGATATACTGTACGTACTTCAGTGTGGGACAGAGGAAACAGTTTACCCGGGAAGTGTATATTAATCGCATTGAGAGTTTCTAACACAGGAAGTTATGAGGCCTTACCTACTTAATGTGTGAGGCAGAAAACTAAGACCCCATTTCCAGAGATTAGATCGATCTACTTTAGATCGACCTAACTCCCCGGGGGTTCACGCTAAATAACTGTCAGCCGAGTGGACACGAAAGTTAATTACCCCCTTACAGCTTGTAGTAGGTGGGACAGACATTTAAGCCGGATTATCTGACAGTAATCTAGTGAGACTCCCCACGGGGATAGATCGATCTAAAAGTTCTGGGAATACAGCCTAAGGTAAGGATTCTCAGTACTAGTATTTATATTTTTAAAGAACTTTTATGAAATTTAAATGCAGTAGTACAGGTTTTAATCTCTCATAACCCTTAGTAGGGTGGGTTTCATTTTTTAAAACGTGAGACGTTAATAAAATTATTATTATTATTATTCAGGCTATACTACACAGTATAGATGTAATTACTATAGTAACAAACTTGGTCTAAAAACTAATGAAGTCAGAATGACTTTTTCTCAAACCCCTTCCATCTCTCCCTCCCTCCTATTCTAGGCATTCTCTCTCACACACTCACACTCACACACACACACAGAAACACACTCATGAACTCATTCACACACATAAACACACACTCACACACTATAAAGTAATATCTTTAACCTGCTAATTAAATATGAAATTACTTAAGTCTGCAAAAAATCGATAAGTTGAAATAATTATACAAATCCACCTATTTGAATTTCAAAGGAAAATGTTACAGACAACACAGCAGTGTCTGCTAGCTGTTATTCAAACATTAGAGACTGTGACAGATGGCACTAACTACTACCATGGCTTATAGAGTTATTTTCTTTATTATTTTGTTATTATTTTCATTTAATATTATCTTCTTTTCTGACTTTTTTGTCATCTGAGAAAAGATCTGCAAGTTTAAATTTGACCTAGGTGCTGTTCCATTAAAAAGGAATGTTTCACTTTTTAAGTGGAAAGGTCCCCACCCCTCTTTTAAATTGTAGGCTACATGACTGATGGTGGCACAGTTATAGTTGCCAGGACTGGATTTTCTTATCACCAGGCATAAGACCCCCGTGTTTTTGAAAAGAGAAATGTTGTTCTGATAACCTGCAGATAAAACTATTAGATTGTAATTCAATACAGTTAACTCCTAAAGGTAGTGCTAATCTGGCTGAGATTAGTTGCTGGCAGTTTGTAGGCAAGCACAGGGTGGCAGGTGGGTCGTAGATGTGTAGAGGTAGGCCAAGTTTTGTTCACAAGTTCAAAGTTGGTCTTCACCTTTGGGTATGATTTTTATGTATGTTTTTCATCATTTTTGCCTTTTTTGAGTGAGTTGTTGTGTTTTAAGGTGTTCTATTTCTCCCAATTTGATAAAAATTGAAAACATTCATCGCGTGGTATTTTGATGCAGAGAGAATCCATGCAAACAATTGAAAAAAAAATTGTTAACTAAATGCTACCCTGACTTACTGACTCCATCGCACAACAGACCCCAAATATTTAAAAACCATTGCCTTAACTTTGACAGAGCTAATGAACATAAACAAAATATATTGCCTCCAAGTTCCTGTGAATAAGCAATTCATTTTTTTTATTCCAGTCCAAGGCTAATCATTCAGTGCTTTAAGTCTTAAAAAAAGAATGAAACATACCACCGACACCAGATATTCAACAGGAAATTATAAAAATCTACATTTAAAACCACATAAATATCTTTCTCCTTGAAAATTACCCACATGGCAAACAATTTGTGCTACTAGGCACTTGCCCCAGACAATTGCACATCTAAAGAGGTACCAGGCTAGTAGAAAAACTTAAGTTTAATTAAAAAAACAAACTCACATTAAGACCAAAATTGCCTGAAATGCTAGCTGCTTAGAAGTTTTTGACACAGTCATTTCTTGTGACATAGAAATGATCCATAATTTCATTTTTACCCTAGTTAAGATAATTCCTTCGAGATAAAATAAATATCTGATACTGTTGATGTTTTTTTGTAGTATTTTAAAATAATTTTCCTGTTCTAAGTAAGTCATTGTCTTAATGCTTTGACCCTTATATACAAGATGTCAGTGCTCTATAATGTTACGTGAGATCAGAAACATATTGAGGTCTCCTCTGATGTGAGTTGGTCAATGTTGAATTTTTTTCACAAAATGGAATCAAGTTAAACTTGGTCAGTTTAGGAGAGATAAAACAATACTATTATCATTATATTTTATCAAAATTTACCTAGTCAAAATGCCTCTTATAAGAAAGATAAAATTTAGTGCCACTTCTATTTTCCGTACTCCAACAGTGTGTGTAAACTGGCTTTATTTCTGGGCCAAGTCACATCGCAGGGCAGATATATATAAACTACGGAGACAGCTGACTCTACATAATGTGCATATGCGGCTTGGATGGATAGCAGTTCAGAAAACTGTACTGTAACATGGCACACTAAGGTTTACCTGAACCTGGAGTAGTCCTGCTGATGTCATCAGACAGCCTGAGTATGGAAATCACTTATTAAGATTTAATAGAAATTCTTGGTACCTTTTTTTTTTTAGAAAAGTGTATTTTATGTTAAAAATCCTGATTTAAGAGACATGAAAGGTGAGTTTCGTTTGAATCGGGAAGCATAACACGTAACACGGCAATGGGTGTGCCAAATAGTAATTTAACTTCTGATAAATGTTCATGTGAAAGATGTTCATACTTGTTGTTTATAACATAAATTTTATAACATATCAAGGTTTTGCAGACTAAAGTATCTTCATAAAAGCAGATTAAAGATCTTACTTAAGTGTGTGTGTGTTTGTTTACATGTATGGGA